TTGCAAGGGTGCTTTGTCGTTGCCTTCTACTCCCACACGTCCTGGGACCTAGCAGAGGCTGACTTTGTTCTGCACACCTAATATGTTAATTTCTTTTTGCAGTTCAACACCATCTTTGAACTAATGATATTTGAGGTTACAGATTTGATGGCTTCTCGGCTATCTGACATGATGTTCTTGTGATTTACACTTTGGTCCAGTTGAGTTGAGTACATGTCTCGATTGCGTGATTCTCAGCTTGGAAGGTACTGGTGTATTTTCCCATGGGTTCTGAGTATTTGATTCCAGGACCGAATATTCTTGCCCCTGTAACTTCCTGTGTAACGGTCACTAAATACCACACATTTCTACGCGAGAAGAAAGAAAAAGAACATGGCATTCTTGAACAGATTTCAACTATACATGGACACCAAGCATAGAATGAACATAAAAATCTCTAAGCAACCTATTTATATTCTTCTAATTAATCTACCTAATATATTCCATATTTTTTAGGTTCTACTGTAATGGAACTTTCGGTTTTTAATTATTTTTAATTATACAACCTGAATTTTACCAATATAATTATTCAGAAATCGTGAGATGCGGTCTGGTGTGATGTAGGTTTCAGAAAAACATTTTCTTTATCGTGCCAAAGTTTCGATCTTTATTGAGATCATCTTCAGGGCTCAAAGTGTTTGTCTTCTCGTCACTCTCAACACGACACGCAAGAATGGCACAATTACACAGAAGACAAACACTTTGAGCTATGAAGATGATCTCATTAAAGATCGAAACGTCGGCACGACAAAGAAAATGTTTTTCTGAAACCTACATCACACCATACCGCATCTCACGATTTCTGAATAATTATCGATTAACGGTCACTAATCACCACACATTTTTACCCATATATGCACTTGTGAAAATTTTTACACGCTACAGTTTATATGATTATCTTTTTTTTAATGTACGTCTTTGTGACTGGACCTCAACACGGATCGTTTAGTTAAATTCAAAAAGCTTTTAGTTCTAGTAGATTTCTGCTCCAAATCCGGTGGAACTAAAAGCTTTTCGAATTTACCTACACAATCCATTTATTATCTGCTACTTATTGCATCGAATGAATGCTTGCGTGTATCTGTACAAAAAAAAAAAAGTCAACACAAAATATGCCAAATTATATTTAAAAAATCTTATACCTGTGAAAAAGAATTAAACTAAAAATATAACACGTAAATTAAGAGTTAAATCGTAACGTTAAAAGTTAGAAAATAATAAAAAGCTAAAACGTACACGAACAAGTCGCCCAGGTAGAAAAGAAAACCCAAAACGACCTGTGCTATGCGGACAAAAAACACGACCATAGATCCATCGATCTTTTGTCTATTAAATTAATGTACCATTTCTGGGGTTCAACAAAAACCGTGTGTCAACAAAAATCTGCCTGCTAAATGTCTCGAATCAGCAGGACCCTTATATAAGCCACATCAACTAACAACCCTTAATCTTCTAATTAAACTAACTGGATGTTAGTTGAATAAGCAAAGTATAAAAGAAAAAGGGCACGCTTTTAGCTTGTTCTCCCTTTCGACCCTTTGTGGATGCAAACGTTCCCTGAATTACCGGACCCACTGATTACTAATGAGCGAACCCTTCAATTATTCATTACTTATTATCTCGGGATCGGCTAATTCTTATTCAATTAATCGGCAAATTTCTGGAGGTATTTTATGGCGGAAAAACGATTTAAGAAGTATTAAATAAAAACTACTCAAGGTGAGAAACAACCTCACAAAGAAAATGAATATATTTCGAAAGGAGGAACAAGAATTTCTGTTTTCAAGGATATAACAGTTTCAGATGAAGAATGCTTTTTATGCTTTCCATGCTAACGGAATTTAGTCACGCTTTCGTTTCAACCAAAACTAGTAAAATCAACCAAAAGTTGACGCTTTCATGCTGTTTTTCTTTACTATTAAAAAAATTAATTCTTTTGGCATAATTTTTTCCTATACGTAACACAACGCGACATATTTAAAGTAAAAAGTACATGAAACTGCAGGTTCAACGGTAATTTTTTGCTTTGGTCGTTTATTGTCTCTATATTCCATGTTTATTGTCTCTTTTTTATGTGTTTTGTTTGATTTTTACGTTGAAGTTTATAACTCCTTTATTGTTGTTCTTTTGTTTTGTTTGTTTTTAGTGTAGATATTTTAACCAATTTTTATGCTTGGGTTATTCTAAGTTTATTGTCTCTTTTTTAATGGGTTTTTCCATTTTTCTTTATTTAATTCATTGATGTTGAAGTTTTTTTGCATTGTAATTCAGTATCAAATATATCATTAGCTATTTGATTAGGTGATGTCAGTCCAGGATTGTGACAATGCTTTATTTACTTGTCCTTTCGTCATTTAGTGATAGAATAAATTGTTAGTTAAATTTTAATCTATCATTATGATTTTTCGGTGTTTTGATGAATTTTCTTTCAAACTATCATAACTAAATATTATTTATTACAACTCATGAATTTATGATCTCATTTAATTGAGTTTACATTAAAATAAGCATGTTGTAATGAATATAATGATAATAATACCCACATAAGTTTGAAAAACAACAAAATACGAGTGTCCGTTTTTTTAATCTTTAAATGTATTTAGACGATTTTTTTAATTAAAAAATTCTTTATCGCTTTGATTTGTAGTTTGGGCTTTCTTAAAATAATCTCTTCCAGGGTACTAAAACTCCAAATGACAAAAATATACAGAAATATTTTCTAATATGTAAATTACATTTTCGTATTTATAGTACTTAATACATACTGCAAATAAAAAATATAACTTTTGTTTGGCTTAGAAGGCAGATTTATGTTCTTTTTGTTATTTTTGAGGTATGCACAAAAGTGGGTAATTTTCCTCCTGGCTTCTTTTCTTCTGCCTTCTTCAATTTTATTTTCTTTGTCAGGTCTTCCACTGTATACATTTTGTTCTCCACGTGCTTATTTAATCAGTCTAGCTACACCAAAATAATATTTATCAATAATTATCTGATTTTTGCAGTTTTTGTCATTTTCAATTGAATTTTGTTGCTCCGCTGGTCTGAAAATTTTTGGTGTTTTACTTAAGTGTTTTTATGGACGCATTGATGGCCACAATGATAAGAGGTTGACATGGTAATTCATGGCTGTAAGGCTACCAGGTTTGAATCTCAGAAGCTCTAAATTTGGTTTGCAAATTTTGTTAAAATCATTCTGAATTCAGTCGAAGAATCAATAGATATGCATTATTCCTTATTTTCATGACTGTCTATTTTGCAATAATAAAATTTATGACCCTTGGTGGTTGAAAGCGAAAAAACAAAAAAATATATTCTGGTTTAAATGGCCAAACTTTTCAATTATTCATAACCATTTTTTTTTGTTTTGCGTCTTCACTAATAATGAAAATTATTTAGGATTAAAACGGTTTAACCTCAGGGCATATAAATTTAACTTAATTATCAGAATGTAAATTCAACAGCCTAATGTCTGATTTCATTAAGCCATCTTGTACATCCAGAATGATTGGAATTGCAATAAACCAATAAACCAATAAACTTTTCAATTATTCATAACCACATTTTTTTTTTGCGTCTTCACTAATAAAGAAAATGATTTAGAATTAAAACGAGTTAACCTCAGGGCATATAAATTTAACTTAATTATCAGAATGTAAATTCAACAGCCTAATGTCTGATTTCATTAAGACATCTTGTACATCCAGAATGATTGGAATTGCAATAAACCAATAAATTTCATTGCAGCAAGATGTTTAATTCCAAGTAGAAATGGGTAAAAATGTTAATTTTTAGCTCTTTATTTCTCCCCTTACAATTTTAACTGCCCATCCAAGTTGAATCAAAAATGGAACAAAGAAAACAAAAGCCTACACACATGAGCATTTTTTACATTCATAAACCCCAACATTAATCGGTATCCTTGGTTTTATAATTCCGGAATGACAAAGAAGGACTGTACAATAATTACCAGACTCAGGGCGAACCATGGGATCTGTGGATTTCCAAACATAAAATTGGAAAGTGCGAGAATAGCAAATGTGAAAGATGTTTTGTGAAAGACGATCTTGAACATGCTATAATGATCTGCAAAAAGTATGCGCCACAAAGAGAATGGTGGTTTGTAAAAATATATGCGATGAAAGACATTCAACTACAAAACTTTATTGGCCTCAAAAAATAAAGGCATCTACTTATGTTTGTTAAAATTTATACATAAGTGCACGTTAACCATATGAAAATTAAATATTAACTAAGTGAATTGTTATTGTTATTTATCTATTCGTTTGTTTGTTAGTTTATATATTTATTTATTTGGCTATTTATTTCTTTATTATGGTATTCTCTAGTTGACTTTGAGTCTGTATGGATGACTCTGAACAATGGGGGGAGGTTTCCGGGCTGGTGCCGAGGGGGCTGTCGGTCCGGCTGCTGTTTTCTTGCTGGGTGGAGAAGGGGGCCTCCAGAGCGAAGTTTGCTCTGGGGGTTTGGGAGATGTGGACTTTTCCACATTATTTCGATGTTAGTGGTTTTTATCCACATTTCCGCTAAGACCCTCGTTATAGAGAAAGAATATTCCTAAAGAAGAATACCCAAATGGCAGGCCCGTTGATCCGCCCGGCTGGTTGGTGGCCCTCTTGGTACCGCCTAAATGGCAACCCTCCACATGTTGTTGCACACGAGCTTTAAAGTCCGGTGGCTAATGCGGAAACGTAAAGCAAAAAAAAAATTTTTAATCCAGAATTAATAATAATTTTTTAACAAATGGATTGTTTTTCAAAACCCTGTGGGTTAATATGAACTCATTGTTAAAATTCCTCCATAAAACGTCATTGGTTTATGTGTTTCCCCATGTGTTTGTCTAATTTAGATTCAACCACAAACCAACCATAAAATGGTTTAACAAATTTGATTTACAAAATTTTAATGCTGTTGAATAATAAAATTATTAATCTATATTTTAGTTGTTACTGGAAGTACTGATGGACTTGGTAAGGAGTTTGCACTGCAGCTTGCCAAACAGGGCATGAATATAGTCCTAATCAGTCGAAGTGAGACAAAACTGCAAAGCACCGCAGCTGAAATAAGTAGGTCACATCATTTATTCAAAACTTAAAAAAAAAAAAAAAAACTGCATTGATTAAAAATAAATAAATATTCTAGAGGCACTATATGATGTCGAAGTACAGTACATTCAAGCGGATTTCTCATCCACTGACGCTTATGACAAAATAAGAAAAGTTTTAGATGGCTTAGACATTGGAATTTTAGGTAAGACAATATTTCAACATTTTATTCGTGCGTTAATCATGTTTTAATTTTCAGTCAACAATGTTGGGATATTAAATGAACGGCCTGAATCAATAGCGGACCAAAGTGAAGAATTTGTTAAAACTATAGTAAATGTGAATATTATAGCGACAACCATCAACACGTTGATTGTTCTCAATCAGATGAAAAAGAAAAATAGAGGAATGATTATTAATATGGGTTCTCAAAGTGGTGTTTTCCCAGTGCCGTACATAGGGATTTATAGTTCTACTAAGGTCAGTTCAATTACTTAATTTAGAATTTTTATCAATAAATAATGTTTATCACATTATTAATAAATTCAAATATAAATTTGTTTCAATTGTAGGCTTTTGTCGACCATTTTTCTGCAGTTTTAGACTCCGAACTTGAACATACCAATATTAAAATTAAGTGCTTCAGAGGAGGATTTATCAAGACTAATTTATTGGCGCATATTGACGAAATGGTCAATTTCTACAGGAGATATTTCCCTCCGGCCGTACCAGATGCGAAAACATATGTAGAAAGCGCCATCGCAACATTGAACACAAATGCGACTTTCACGTCTGGCTATTGGGGGCATGGTTTGGTGTTGGTAAGTTAATAATCAATTACTGCATTAATATTTTTGCTTTAATATATTCATGTTCATTATGTTTCAGTTCGTAGTCGAAAATTTCATGAACAATTATGTGAAGGCTAAATTTTCGAAGTTTATAATGACTAGCAAGTTAATTTGGCGGACAAAGAAGAAATAGTACTTGCAGTATTTTTTACACCAAAGTGACATTTTCTTTGTTACATCTGTTGTTAAACGTTTTGTACTATTTAAAAAATGTATTGTTTTCTAGAAGTTTCTACTAACAGTTGTAAATACTTAAGAATAGAATAAAGATTTGAACATTAATAAAAGTATGTGCTGTTCCGCCATCTAGTACTGACTTTGTGCTCTAGATTCATTGACTTATACCAACCTAAAATTGGGCCTGCGTTGGGTTTTTGACTTTCGTTCTGAGTCAGTGAGTGTAAGCATATTATTTTGTGTGGAATCTGGGGACGAAGCATTGCATCAGAGCTTGCACCTATTGCTACCCAACAAGGTTAGAGAGGTAAGCTTCAATCCGTTAATCTGGCAACACTTATGCTCACAACATGGATCTAAGTAAACCAGATCTATGCTCTACTGAGGACATGTGTTCTACTGTGTCTTCTCACTTTTATTCTTTAAAAAATAAAAGACCTCCACTGTCTGGCAATTCTCTCATAAATAAAAACTCTTGTAAAGGCCGACAGGAACAAAATAATTTTATAATGCAAATAAAGACCAAATTGAAGAAAGTTCTACACTTTTGCAAGGTAGTTTATTTTTATTTCACTCGACAATTCAACAATTGCATCGTGTTGGTGACAATATTGCCCATTCCCTTGAACAATAACAGTATTGCTTGGATGTCTTTCTTGATTTAGAGCTGATCTTTGATCGAGTATGACACTTGGGTTTGCTTTGGAAACTGAAGAACATTCTCCCTCATACTATCTCATCTTATATGATGGACTGTTTTATTATCTCATTTTACATATGCATTACGGTTGGTGTTTCTCAGGGAAGCATACTTGACCCATTTCTATTTTCAATATACACTACAGATTCCTATACATGTTAACATTTCAATGTGTAATTCAATTATCACTCATCACTTACACCTGAATGAATGAACAAGGTCACAAAGTGGAAAATGGAGATAAACCTAACAAAAAGCATAGAGATAAATTTTACCTTATGTAAAAATATCCGTCCTGCGGTGAGTATAAATGGAACCGCTGAACTTTTGCATTATCTCTGATTTGGAATCCCCCCAGAAGACTGAAAAGACAAAAATGTTGTTATAAATTACAAAAAAGACTTGATTCATGATCAAAATTAATCATTGAAAATATTTGAATTTACAAGCCAATTATATGACCTCTCTGGTGGTATGAGGTTCAACAAGATTCCAATTTCTAATGTTTCCAATCAATTCAGTCTGAATTATAAATGTTTCCTTTTACATTTCAAATTATTCCATTCATAACGACCTACATTTCCTGTTTGTACATGAACTCATCAGAACCCGAAAAAAATTTTCATTGAACAAACACATAGATTGAAGAGGTTTCAAACTTTCAGCGTGACGGAGTGTTATCACTGGGCAACTTTTCCTACAAGAAACTCAAATGACCAATTCAACATATATGAACATATTTATTTAATACAATATCTTTAGTGGTAAAATGTAATAAAAAAATGGTTTAACACCTTTAATTCATTTTCAAAAATAATTTGTATCCAACACCTGGTTGAGCCTGGTGAAAAAAAGAAAGAAAAGAAATCATCTGAACATACCATCCAAGAAATGGTGGATAAGTCGAAGCTGATATTGACAGTAATGATTGACAGCACTTTGGTTGGATCTCATCCTCTTCTTGGTAGAGTGTGCCAAAACATAAATAAAGCTGGGATGGAGAAATTGATCCATCCTCAACCGGAGATGGACACACCATCAAAACTATATCAAAATAGATGATCTGGGAGTAAAAAATAAAGAATACTTAAGAAGGAGGATGTTGAGGATGCATCATGAGCATCTGGATTAGTTTTGAAACACTTGATACACTGCGGATTTCATGTGCCAGTGGTAGTATTCAGTAAGTCTTCTAAAAATAAATAAACTCCATAATATCCTCTAATTCTGAAAAATAACTCATTTTGTATATATTGAAAGTGAATATATTTATTAGCATGAATGTGTAGTGTGAGAGGGTGATGGAATATTGAGTACCCCTTACACCCTTAATTAGATTAGTTAGACATAGAGTAAAAGTAGTAACAGGAACACAGATGAGAGATCAAATCATTTTACAATACTTCTTTCATTCTATTCTCAATTAAAAAGCCATGAGCAGTGCTGAGATTTGATCCCAGAACTCCTAGCGTGGCAAATATGAGTCCCTAACCACTTAGCCACCACAGTGCCGTTTAGTATGTGAAAAAGGCTGATGGAGATATATGGAGTACTCTGCCATCTAATTTGAGTGAATGTAAATAGGAAATAATGCATTTAAGAGTAACATTTGTCTAGGTTTAAAAGTTGCATGCATAGAGGCTGAGTTGACATAATTTCAGTAGTCGGACAGTTAGACAGTGGTCTGACCCTGGACTGCCAGAACCAAAAATAGATGATTCTCATGGCTTGCTGCAAGAAGTCTTAAATTTGATTCTCTATATTTTCACTCTATGTATGCGCATATATTAAAAATGGATATCTATAAAAAAATAAAAGAAAAAAGTCATAATAATGTCTTGTCCAACTTGTCATTTTATTCTAAAACAAAAGGAAACAAGCAATTTAATATTTGATTTGTTGTGAGATTTCTCTGTTTTCTATGGAGAAATTGACCTGAAATTTGGTCATATCCATCATTTTGGTTTGCCTATCCTTGCTGGGGTGATGTCAGACTTGTTCCGGCATTTCTCCATCTTCAGTGTGCCACTAAAGAAAAGTTTCTAAAAAACCTAAAACTCTTTTGAAGGACTTCTGTGAGACAGTTTTAGTTAAAAAATATGCTAGAAGTGTCAAATGAAAATGGATCAAAATGAAATAGGATAAAATAATTATATTTTTAGATTTTTTCTTGTTTTGCAAGATGATGGATTTGTATTTTGACTGTTGCTCTGCTGATCTGGTCTTTCAAATACTTGTGGCAGACCTCGAGCATCATTAGCTGATAAACCTTGAGGCGATAAATCTGCAGTTTGAACTACCGAAGATGGCAAAAAGCTGAAATTATATATAGAATATAAAACCTTTAACAGTGTGTAAAATATTGAAGGAAAATAAAAAGATTTAATATTTTATTAATAAAAAAGTTAATTTTATTTGAATGTACGATTATTTGAAATTCACACATAGATAAGTACAACTTGGCATTTTTAATGAGTTTTATTATATTAAAGTTGTAAAAAATAAATAGATTATGTACAGTGCTTATTTTTATGAAGAGAGACAAATAAAATTTTAAAAAAAGGTTAAAATAATCATAAAGTCAATTGTTGTACCAGAAAATAACAAATACAATAACAAAAATTATTCTGATTTTTTATTATGAAAATAAGCATATTTTCTATATATTTCACTCAAATGGTTCATCGATGATGAATTTTAAATGTTGATTTAATTTTATTTTGTGTTAAACTGGGAATTTGAAAATTATCCATCAATTTTGATTAAACAAATGTATATAATATATGCATGAACAAACATTTTTATTGCAAGATAATCTCAAGATATAAAACTAACTTTCAAAAAGCTTAAAACCTTTGGCACTAGTAGTCATGCTATATTATTTGTAAAAAATTGCGATGTAAAAGTAAATAATTTATGACAAGCTTAAGAAATTTAGTTTCCTTGTTGTTTGTATCAATGTTGATGTTTCAGCCTGCTTCTGATCCATTCTTCTATAGAAAATGTAGCACCTTTGAAACATCGATAATATTAAACTAACTAGCAAATGTTTAAATAGGTTAAACAGTTTTGGATTTTTAACATAGCAGTAAAAGTGTTTTAAAACATTGTCTAGTCTTTGTTGAATAATACAAAATAAAACAATTGTACAGATTAATTTTCAAAATTCAAGAAATATAGGGTAAAGATTAGGATTAGAGTGGTCTTTTCATGAAGCCAACCCCCAAACCTGATATCAAATCATTTTGAAAATGGTTTGGTCTTTCTACTGATCTCATCTAAAAATGATTACATATGCTGCACACAGTTTTTTTAAAAACTGTTTTCATTTAAGTAGTATAAATTATACTTTGATAGAAAATTATGTAGATTTTGAACTTCTAAATGCTTAAGTATGACTAAAGTCCTATGCCCTACTGAAGAGTTTTAAATAGAGTAGAGACAAATCAGGAAATTGGGCATTTCCAAAATTCTTTTCGTTGTCTGTTTTTGAATTTCGAAATTGAGGGTTTGCTTTAGTCAGTACTATGAACTATACAGAAAATTCAGCGCACCCATAATAAATTAAATTCTTTCTCTCCATCGTTGTTTTTCATGAGACAGAACGTTTTACAATATTTTAATATAAATTTGCCAGATTGTCCAACTGATTGTTTTTAAGGGTTTAATTGCTTTCCACATGCAAAAAATCAGTAGATGTTAATCCCTTTAGTAACAAGTACTAGAGTTTGAATGTTAAAATTTTTCCTTAGCCTGCTTCAACTATTCATCCGCTGGATTCACCAATCTCCTGATTTACGTTTTCATAATTTTTATCATGAATAAATGCCTAATTTACTTGAAGAATATTGGAAAAAGAGTGGCTTTTCATGCAATAACACCACTAATAATATAAAAGGCAATAAAATGTTTTGATATTTAAATACTCAAATCTACATACATATAAGTTGAATAAGGATTTTTTTTTCTTTCAAAATTTTATTTATTTTCTCTGCTCCAATGTCAATTGTAAATCACGTCAATAAAGTTCCTGATATGTCGGTTATGTAGGTCCATATGAATTTTCTACAATTTTTAATCATAGTACAAAATAATACTCTTGTAAATCATTTTTGTTTTGTTCACCTATTTCATAGCATTTCTAATTTTCTATTTTTTTTTGTTTGTAAAAAGGAAGTCACTAAAAGCACTAAGGTTCAGGTACTACTCTAAATTTACAAAGAAGAATTATCTTCAATTCTTCAAACCGCCTCCAGATAACGATTTCCTTTGAAATAGTCATAATTTAAGAGTTTTCTTTTATGACAATTGTTATAAAGTATAAAATATAAATTATTATGTACAGTTGGTTTAACAATGACGGTAACATTTACAATTATAAACATTGAACATACATAACACCTTAATAAGTAAATAGGACAGACTTAGATAAAAACTTTTACTTTTTATTGTTAAAATGACTTTTGTCCCAGAAACTTATCTTAAATGGAAAAACCATTCTTTTTTTGGATTATTTTTACATTAATGGAAAAAATATACAAATGAATGATTTAATCATTTAATCTACTTACATATTTGTTTAATGTCATATATATATATATTTAAGTTAACCATTTAGTAAAATCTGATTTATCACCGTTACTTTTAATTTATAGTGTTTTATTTTTAACTCTATGCTTCAAAAAATAAATTCTCTTCATACCAAATTAATTTCTATGCTTAAGACAACTATATTATTTGATTATTAAGGCTTTTTATACACAACATTAGTTATGTTTAAATGGCTTTTAGTTTCTTATAATTTAGTTTTGTGGAATAAATCACTCATTTTGTGTTTTAAAGGTTAAATTAAAAAAAAAAAAAAAAAAGAAAAAAAGGAAATATAAGTATTGATTTTTTGTTAAAAAAGAAACACATCTGGACCCATAAACCATAGACAAACAATACAACTCAAGACGGTAAATAATGTTTAACAAAGTTTTCACTTTTCCGTGTTAATTATACATTCAGTTTATAACAGTTTGAATGTATTCAACAGACATTTCATTTTTCATGAAATGAAAAGGTTTAGTCGATTCGGAGGGAGTGAGCATCTCCAGAAAGGAAAATCTGGCAATCGAAAGGCGCAGATAAACAAGTAATATTGCTGTTTCATCATCAGTTGGGCCTGGTGATCACAGTACGGTGTCGAGTGTCTCGAGTGACTGAAGTATCCGCTCGTCTCTTGAACACCACTCTACCAATTCGTCTATTGTGACCACTCCATCTTTGTTTGTGTCAATGAGCTGAAAAATGTACAGAACAAAAGTTAAGGATTGACCCAAGGATTTTCGACAGCGGGGAAGCATACATGGAAAATCTTTTCGACGTGATCTTTCGCCGAATGTTCTTCAACTTGAGGATTTGTCGATCGTCCGAGCATTTCGTATATGGACGCTACGACTTCTAGCATTTCTTTTTTTGTTATGAGACCGTCTCCGTTTAAATCGTAGAGGCCGAAGACCCACTGAAGCTTTTCCTGTACACTTCCTCTTGACACTTTACTCAATATGCAGAGGAAATCCTGCAACAATAACAATCAATTATTTTTATGGGTCTACAATTTTGATGTACATTATTATTACAATTTAATAAAAACTGATCACAATTTTTTAAATCTATTTTGAAATATGTATTTCTATAATACACACATGTGAAAGGTCAAATATTGTAAGTTGATAGACCTTAACTGGTCAAGTTTGAAGTTAATTCAGTTATGTGGGTTTACCGGTATAATCAGTCTTACAGTACGTTAACACAGTAGTTAAGAAACACTAGTTAATAACAAGAGTTTTCAGACTAAATATTCTAATATTGAGCTGAAGGTCATGGGTTCAAATCCCACCCATGAGATCAATTTTTCATCTCAACTTGAAACTTATTATAAATAGATAGGTGATTAATTATGAACTTAATGTAAATTATAAATGAGTTTTTGTACATAAGTGTGATCTTTTGTTTAGGATAGGGCAAAGGTTGTTCATTTTACATTAATTTTATGTAGTATTTGTATATATTTAAAAATAGTTATAATACAAACAATACTTTCCAACCAATGCAGTGTTTAATATAGGCTATAGATCCAGCAGTTGATGATAAAAATGAGCAAAGGACTTCCTTATTATTGCTATTCCTGTGAGAAAGGGCTAAGTTGGAAACAGCAGTTAAACACCGACAGCAGGCATATCCAGTTGAGGTGTGCTTTTTATGTTTTTGCTGATTACATCTTTTATTTCTCCCCTACTCGCTGAAATCAGCTTTTGATCAAAAGCTCAAGTTTAAAGAACATATTCCTTCAATAAAACATAGATCTATGAAGATGCTAGGTTTCATCATCCGGAACACCTATGAATTTAAAAATCCTCTATGTTTTGTCCATCTTTATAAAGCTTTTGTACAACCCATACTAGAATATGCTACACCTGTTTGGAACCCATTCTATCTAAATTATCAAAAAATTCTTCAATCTGTACAAAACAAATTTTTATAAAAATTTTCCTACAAACTCAATCTAACTCCGAATTCTGCCTACCCTGGAATCCGCTCTGAATTTAAACTTTTCGAATTGGCACTAAGAAGGGATTACTTTGATATTGTTTTTGTATTTAAATTATTAAACAATCTCATTGATAGTCCTTATATCCTCTTTCAACTACAGCTACATGTCCCTTCGCACTCTCTTAAAACCTATAAATTATTTTATATTGAATTCCAAAGCTCTAACTACATGCTCTCTTCTCCTCTACACAGAATGATGATCAAGAGTAACAACATCTGCAATAGCATTGACTTCTTTAATAGTTCTGTGCAATCTGTGAAAAACCTTATCCTACAACCTTAGTTGAATGCTTTTATATTTCATACTGTACAAAATTATTACAATTTATTTCATTTACTGGTTCAACCAATTCTCGCACTCTAGTCTTATTATATGTTTACAAAGAGCATTATTTTCATTAAATATGTACCTAATTATTGTAGTTTCAATTGTCTTTCAGCTTTATTTTGTTTCCTCTGCCTTATTTGGTTAGTAATTATGTCTTTCATTTTTGTTGTTCAGTTTTTACTCTTTAATTGTATTTTTATATTTATCATTTATATTTACCATTTATATTATTACCATGTATATACATCCTTATTCTTTTTATATATATTATTTGTATTTTTACATATATTATTTATATTTTTTGTTATTGTAAAATGTCTTTTTTTATAGTGGATTTCGATCCGTAAATAAATAAATGTGAAGCGTTTACTAAATTTCTGATCTTGACCAGAACCATAGAAATTGGGAAATAAGACAGAAGCATATCTCTACATCTAGCATGTCCTTCAATTCTTCCATTAAAAATGCTATTATCACAGTATCATCAGCATATCACATTTTGTTTGTGTGCTGAACATTTATGTTTAATACCGTGAGGTTTCTGCGATAGTTCGGAAAAAATCCATTCAACATACATATTGAATAGGACAGGTGATAAAATTCACCCCCGGTGTACTTTCTGATTGTTTCTTATCATTCAGATAACATTAATGTTTAGGCCTTTACCTTTTAAAATACCCATGAATTACCAACTTTAAAAAACCCCTAGGCTTACTTTTAAAATATCCATGAATTTATTGTTGACTTACTTTATCGAATGCCTTCTCTAACAGATAAAGCTCAGTTGGTCTACATTCAAATCTAGACTTTGTTTCGCTAATACCTGTATCTCTAAATAGAGGCATAGAGCTACTTTCATTCCCAGGTTATTCCAGAATCCAACTTGGATTGGTAATATCCATTTTCATTTATTTTTTTGTTTGTTGTAAATAATGAAAGGCTGTGCAATCCCTTGTCTATTTGTTTTCCTACCAGTTGAATGAATTTATTGCATTAATAATGTCTAAAATTTATTTATAAAAAGTTTTAATAAATTACAAAAAAAAATTACCATTTTTGTAAGAGGGAAATTATAAAGCAACCTAATTTTGTGTAGTTTCACTCTTTCATCTTGTATTTCATTAAATTTAGCACCAAATTTAGACACGTTTTGAAAAATGGTCGTTTTATTAATTTAAAAACACCAATTTTCATGAATTGAAAATGGATTGAAAAAAAAAGCCAACCGTTTTTTTTTTTAAATTTGTAAAAGAACCTAGACAATTTTTCTATAGAATGATTAAAAAGCTTGAATTGTTTAACGGGTCTGGTGAATTTTAAGGAAAATCCAGGAATTGTTTTGTAAAAATATTTCTTGGATAAGGAAATTAAAGTACTGTTTTTAATAGCCAAAAATCCCTTAAAAAGTTGAAAAATAAAACCAAAATATGATCATGATTCATGAATTCGCTGTGCATATGGAGCCAAGTTGGTCAACACAAAAACTGGTTTCACCACTTGCTCAGAGATCGCAGTGATCATTCACCTTCGAACGAGTCTTTTAAGAATTCACATTGATATCAACCAATTGCCGTTCCGTTTCCCGGGATTTATTTGAAAATTGAACTTTTATCAAGTCTTTTACTCGGTTTTTTTGGGCTAATGATAAACAGATGGCAGAATTTGTTAAATTAAATGTGAACCGTTTGAACGCCCGGTCCGACGATTGAGTACCTAGTGAGACTGTACGCCGTCAGAGTGTGATTCGAACCGATCCTTCTATGGTATCATATGGGATGTGATGACTGGGTATTCTGATCTTATTCAGGCGCCTGCACCCGTAAAATATGTTACGACTAATACGGCAGGGCAAAACCCAACTGATCCCTAATATAAGGATCAAATAAAAACAGGATTATAGATGATAATATTTATTATTTAGAAATCGTGAGACACATCGTTTGGTGTGGATGTAGGTTCCAGAAAAACATTTTCTTTATCGTGCCAACGTTTCGATCTTTATTGAGATCATCTTCAGGGCCTGGGATTTACAAACATTGTTTACATTTTACAATTACATTTTGGATGTGGAAAAGTGAATTTATACAATGCAAAATATATTTTATATATTCAATCAAAGTATTTCTACTCACTCAAAGTGTTTGTCTTCTGTGCAATTGTGCCATTCTTGTGTGTCGTGTCGAGAGTGCCAGTGAGATTTTGCTATTTTGTGTTTATATACGTTGGATTTTGAAGGGGTGGGGAAGGACTTGTTCACGTGTTCATTTTTCCACATCCAAAATGTAATTGTTATATGTAAACAATGTTTGTAAATCCCAGGCCCTGAAGATGATCTCAATAAAGATCGAAACGTTGGCACGATAAAGAAAAAGTTTTTCTGTAACCTACATCACACCAGACCGCATCTCACGATTTCTAAATAAATATCGATTAACGGTCACCAATCACCACACATTATAGATAATAAAATATCGATGAAGGGACAAAACTGAAAACGGCCGAAAGGATATGTATCTAAATAAACATAACATACCCCAATATATTTTATTAGAATTAATTAAGGTTTTTAGTTGAGATAAAAAAGTCAATGGCACGAGCGGGATTCGAACTCACGATCTTCGGCTTGATACGCCGCTGCTCTACCACTTGAGCTATCGTGACCTCGATCCTCTCGGGCAGTAACTTCCCATCTCAACCCCACCTTTTGAATTTTGAGCCGAAGGTCATGGGTTCGAATCCCGCTCGTGACACTGACGTTTTTATCTCAACTCAAAACCTTAATTAATTGTAATATATAAATTGGTCAAGCGGACCACGAAATTAGTGAATATTTTGTTCGTGTGTGGTGACCGTTAGTCGATGATTATTCAGAAATCGTGAGATGCGGTCTGGTGTGATGTAGGTTTCAAAAAAACATTTTCTTTATCGTGCCAACGTTTCGATCTTTATTGACATCATCTTCAGGGCCTGGGATTTACAAACATTGTTAAAATTTAACAAATAAATGTAGGATGTGGAAAAAAGCGAATTTATACAATGCAAAATATATTTTTTTTATATTCATTCGAAGTATTTCTACTCACTCAGTGTTTGTCTTCTGTGTAATTGTGCCATTCTTGCGTGTCGTGTCGAGAGTGCCAGTGAGATTTTGCTATTTTGTGTTTATATATGTTGGATTTTGAAGGGCTGGGGAAGGGAGTCGGTATAGAAAAGACATTTTTGTGTAAGGCGTCGGCTTCTTTGAGGTGAAAAGATGGGGGAAGATTTCTGAATAATCATATTTTATTAGGTTTCGTGGTCCCCTTGACCAAATTAATTCTTTTCAATTAAGATTTTGGTTGAGATAAAAAAGTCAGTGACACGAGCGAGATTCGAACCCACGACCTTCGGCTAGTTACGCCGCTACTCTACCACTTGAGCTATCTCGATCCACTCGGACACTAACTTCCCATCTCAACCCCACCTTTTTGAATTAATTAATTATTATATTTTTATCTCAGCCAAAACCTTAATGAACTGAAAAGAATTCATTTGTCAAGCGGACCACGAAACCTAATAAAATGTAATAAGCAAAATGAAGTATTCTTCATTAAAGCTCTTCATGGCCATTTCATTTGTCGCCGAAAATCAACAGATTACACGACATTTGAAAACTGGCAAAAAGGAGGGAAAATTCAAAATGTGGTAGAGCAGCGGCGTATTTAGCCTTAGGTCGTGAGTTCGAATCCCGCTTGTGATACTGACTTTTTTATCTCAACCAAAACCTTAATTAATGGAAAAAATACCCCATTGTATTTAGTGGTCTATTGACCAAATTACTTCTTTCAATTAATTAATATTTTTATGTATAATAACATACTATAATAATTATTATTATTTGGAGGTCGTGAGGTGCGGTCTGGTAGGTTTTAGAAAAACATTTTCTTTATCGTGCCAACGTTTTTATCTTTATTGAGATCATCTTCAGGATTTATGAACATAGTTTACATTTTACAAATACACGTGGGATGTGAAAAAAATGAATTTATACAATGCGATAAAATTTTAGATTAAGAAGAAACAGATTTTACAGCACACTATCCTCTTCATACAATAATAAACACGGCCAAAGGGCTACTTCACAGAATTATTACCCTAAACCATGAATCATTTCACTACAAGAACAAAGATATACAAACATATCCTCCATAACAATCACTACCCTAAACACACATCAAATCTATCAAATACAGACGAACCAATATACATATCCACGCCATTCATTCACGGCCTGACATAAATTAAACACATTTGTCTCTTCCGATAACCAGTCACAAATATATCTGACGTAATTTACAAAATCAATTGTTTAAATTGTCCGGCAACTTACATCGGTATTTCATCCCAATATCTGGATAAGAGAATAGAGCAACATATCTATTGCTAAAACCCAAACAAAATCTTACAGCACTGGCTACCCACCATTTTGAACACCAACACAATTTCGACTTCAACAGTCTAAAAATATTACACACAGAACAAAACAAACATAAACGTAACTTTTTAGAAATGGTTTACATCAACGGGGATAAGCACAGCATGAATTACAGAACAGACACATGTAAACTCAGTCGCAGCTACGCTAACATCATTAATCAAATTCAATAACGATAACATACATACATCATCACATCACACAAAACATATAACATATAAAACATTCATCACATTCCACACATCAAACATTTCTACATAGTCTAATTCTTCAATAATTTGTTTTTCCTATCCTTAATTATCCCCGTCTATATAATCCTGAAAGGATAATCAGGCCGAACCATTATTCATTTTTTCCCATTTTCGGCTCCTTTCACCTTAAAAAAGCCGACTCATCATATAAAAATGTTTTTCTTTCCCTACTTCCTTCAAAATCCAAAGTATATAAACATAAAACAACAATATCTCACTGGCACTCTCAACACGACACACAATAATGACACATCTACACAGAAAACAAACACTGAGTGAGTACAAATACTTTGATTAAGTCTAAAATCTCTAGCGTTGTATAAATTCATTTTTTCACATCCTGCATGTATTTGTAAAATCTAAACAATGTTTATAAAACCCAGGCCCTGAAGATGGTCCCAATAAAGGTCGAAACGGCCATGATAAAGAAAATGATTTTATAAATCTACGTCACACCAGACCGCATCTCACGATCTCCAATACTAATAAATTTTCAATTGTTTGTTTTCTATTCCACAAAAACAAAAACAAAACATAGGACCCCTTCATTTGACATAGTCCTTGATTTTGTTATTATTTTTCGATATCAAAAGTTGTGAGTAAATTTATTGAATTCCGTGTGATTTTTCTTACTAAGGACCTTGATAATCAGTAATAATTTTTATAATATGACGCTGTTTTTATATTTGGCTTTAACAACCAAGAAATAAAACTATGCACTTTAAAACGTTTTAAAATATTGAAAAATATAACTATTTTTTTTCTTATATCACTATGGCACGATAAAAAGTTTTATTAATTATTTAGGTCCGTATTAATTTCTGATGGCAAATATTTTTTTAATTACATTAAATATGTCATGCTTCTTTTATCGCGCTTATTTTAATTAAATAGGTCTTTAAGCTTTCTTTAATATATTTTTTTATTCTCTGGGGCACCGTTATAGTATAAAGAATTGAGGCCACAGGTGTGCTCTCGTCCATAAATTACTTCGTTTTCCCTCTGAGAGCCGAACAATTCTTTGTGGTTATCTTCACGTTTATACGCCTCACACCTTATTTTTTTTCTCCCTCTTAATCTCATTATCGAAAATTACGGTCTGTAGATTAATTAATAATCA